CCAAAATCGTGGGATAATGGAGAGATCCTGAACCTGCTCCCCTTTGGGGATGAAGTCCCGAACGACAAGATCACCTGTCCCACTAGCTGAAAGAAGAGGGATCCTGTGCTTCTGCTGGACCTTCAAAAGGCATTGATGAATCACATCATGTCTTTCCTTGGAATGCTCTTGAACAGCTCGATATCCATAGATCGCAGCATGCCCCCAGATGGCCTTCAGTTGGACTTTGAATCTGGCCAAGGGGTTGTCATAGAAGCTCTGAAAGACGTCTTTGGTGGTAAGTCGAGCATCACATTCCAAGACGATCTCACATACAGCGGCCAGAGTGAGAGTGATGGCCGGTGCCGGGAGTGCAAAGTGCACCTCAGGAGTGATCACTAAGAGATGAACTTGTCGTTTGTATTCCTGATTCAGTGCAGGGTCAAAGACAATCACCTCACAAGGCCCTGAAAGATTGGAGAGCTTCGCCAGCGGGTCAGTTGGATCAATCATCGGCAGGAGAAGCGCACAGGGTTCCTTTGGCTCAATCTCTCTTGGATACGAATGCAATCCCTCCACGGTTTGTGGAGAGTTGTTGTTTCTGGACAAAGGGCACGGATGTCTTGTCTTTGGCAACGAAAGGATGATCTGACTGAAGTTGGAGATCCTCCCACTTGCTCTGTTTAAGAGACTTCTTCTTGGGCTTCCAAGGGTCTTCAAACTGCCAAGGATCAGAAGGCTGCATCGCCGCATCTGCACTGGCTTGCCCTTCCATTCCCCCAAGTGACACGGCGGCACATGGCTGAAGAAAATGAATGCCACCAACAACCAGGAATAGCCTGCGAAGGTTCTCTGCAAAGGTTCGGAGCATAGGGGGTGCTCCAGCACTTCTCCATGCTTGATTGGATTCATCAATGATAGCATCAATGATTTGACGCTTCTGGTGTGGCACATGAAACGAGTCAGGTAGATGTATGTCAGCCACAGTCCACCGATAAAGAAGCTCCCAGCCGCACATTCCAGGTCTGGTCCGATTTGTATCAATGATGACAACTGGGCGAAATCCAAATGGAATGATAAAGCAAGCGCAAAGTCATGCCAGAACTGCTGGTCTCTCGGGGGAACTTGAAGAAAAACAGCCCTGCAGGTGCGCTCTTCAGAGTTGCAGACAACCTCAATACCAATCCAATGTCCTTCACGGAGTGCAACAAAGCGCTGGACATCAGTGCAAGTCGGCTTAACACTGGGAGCGATCAATGAAAGATCATGGTGCAGTACAGGAGGACAGAAAGTGTCAGGCTGAAAGAAAGTCATGGCAAACTCAATTTCATCACTGGTTGCCCACCCTGGATGCGTTCTATAGATGTTGAGTCGCATCTCCAGCCATTCCTCGGCAACAAAGAAAATCTCTCGAATGTCGTATGCATGTAGTTCCCGTCCTGTGGCTCGCAGGATTAGGTCAGCTGCATGGCTTGGAGAATCAGCGATAGCCAAGAGAAAAGCATTGCGGGATGCTTGAGCAAATCAAATCATTCTGTCATCAGCTCTTGTCTCCCGCCAGACAAAGTCAGCTTGATCAATGATTTGCATTACATGAGAGGAATACTGCTCCCGCTGTAACCGTTGCGTGCTTCGATGTGTTGTGGGCAGCAGAGGTGCTCCAGCCCGTGCATAGAAGGTTCGTAGTGTGTGCCAAGATGCAAGCTCAGAGTCTTCAGCTGTTCTGATGCAACGATAGGCATTGGGTTCAACCTGGATTCCCATCACATTGACAAGTTCCAGAACTGCTGTGGTCTGCCGGATAGTCAGTTGTTCAGGAGAGTGGTAAATGACCCTCCATTGGCCTTCAAAGAAGCGTACCTCAACAAAGATCCAGTCAAAGACCACAAGAATTGGCACCACAAAATGCTGATAGCAGAGTTGTAGATCTGCAGGATGTGTAGGGAAGCGGAACTGCGATTCATTGTTGACCCAAAGGGCAGGGGGGCACCAGCAGATAGAAGGCATCAAAACTTGGAGGAAATCAAAGTGGTACACTATCTCGTCAATGGCCAGTGACCCAGGCTCAAGATTGAACTGAAGAAGTCTGGCACCAAGTGTGTCATTCCGGACATTGCAACTGGGCTGTTCGGCAAGCCTGTCCATACCTCCAAATGCCAGTGGAACTACATCACAGACACGAGTATCGCTCCATAACACACCCCCATTGATAAGCATTAATGGCTGATCATCTCTGCACTCAACAAGATTGCGCATGGCAATATGACACTGCTGATCCAATAGGGCATCACATTGGCGAGGTGTGATGGTCCTTGGTGCTTGGCAGATCTTACACCAACGCAGTTGTTGTCCTCCAGCAAGAAGCACCCATTTGTTGGGGCTAACAGGGTCATAATTTCCTTGGATTGCCATCACCACATGAACACCGAGGAGTCTTTGACAGGCATCCTTGTTAGCCTTGAAGAAATGCAAGGTCGAATCAGCATGCCGGAAGGTGGGGATGCTACCTAGGCGATCCAAATTTGCTGCGTTGATCCACTCATAGGTTCCATCCTGCTGCAGGAGAAGTACTTTCCCCGTTCGCTGTGGTTCATCATCTTGACAGACATATTCCAGCACGTGAAAGAATCCAGCCCTGTGTGCATCCTGCAGCTGATCAAGTTGTGGATCATCGTCATACCCACTCCACGGTTGAGTAGGTGAGACAATCGGATCAACCTCTGCATGATCAGTGCCAGTACCAATAACTTGCATGGTGCAGAGAGTATGTTGCCCAAGTTTGACTAGGACATCTCCATATGGCAAAGCATCCCAATGAATGTTCGAAGGGATCTTCTGTCCCTCAAAATGCAGCTGCAGAAGTGATTCATGGTGAACATCCAAGTCAAGGGAATCCAACAACTGCGAGGTGACTGGACGAGTCTCCGAGACATTCAGCGGGATTAGACTCGAATCATCACAGAACCTGATCAATGAATGTCCAACAAGCCAAGGTTGCCATGTCACAATACTCGGTAGGGCTTTGGCCACAAAGCCGGCAAGAGGTTGAAGCACATACATATCGTTCCATTGGCGGACCAATGCTTTATCAACCGTCAGCCTCTCATCCCAACATTGCTGCACCAGAGCCAGCTTAGGAGGTGAGTCTCCAGAGACCCCTTCGAGCGCAAAGAGGATTGCAACTAATGCATGTATCTGAGAGATGGCATTGCCCAGCTGGTGAAAGGCGGTGCGAAGATCGATCGGCAAGGCAATGGAATCTGAGGTTCCAAAGAGTGCAACAAAGACAAATGGATCAATGAATCTGAAGCCCTCTCCATGACGAAGCAAGGTAGCAAAAATCCCTTTTGCATCCAGATGTTCTCTCTGCAGCAAATGTTGGCCTGTATAGGAAGCACAGAGGGTTGGAAGGTAATCACCCTGCTGCAGGAGTCTTTGTTCAAGGACTTGCTGCATGGTTGCATCTTCATGAACCCGTGCTCTTTTACTCGGCGGGAGAAATTGCCGATCACCATATGTGCCAAGCTGTTCATCTTTCAACTGAAGATCACAAACAAGTGCATCCGGCAGGTGAAAGCAGTGTTGAGCATCATCCCATGGCAATCTCCTCGGGATAGAGCAAATGAACCTCTCATCAAGCTTCTGACATTCAACATCTTGCCGGCCCCATGCCGCAAGCCAACGTGTACGGAAGTTACCAGTAAGCTGATGAATTGCAACATCCTGTGACCAAATTTTCTTGTATCCGCCCAGTTGAAGAGCAGCAGAGATCGACCTCCAGTGAGGGTGCGTCTCAATCCCATCTGAACATTCGAAGATGGCCACAATTGGCCTAGCTCTGACCACATGGTGTATCGCATCCAGAAAGCAGAATCCCTCATCTGTGGCTAGTCCGGAATGCTTCCCACCTCTACTCCAGCTGGGGCAGGGCGGTGAAAGCGTCATCACCAAGTTGGATTTGTGTGAGGTGGCACGGAGCAAGGACACCTCACTAACATCTGAATGAATTCCATTGTAGATTTCCAGTGAGTTGTAGTCCACAGGAATGGGGACCTGTTGGAAGTCGCGGCCATGATTAAAGCTCCAGGTTTTCATGACTGCAGGACACCAATCCACAGAGGTATGGGAAGCAAATGAGAATCCAAGATTCGTTTGCTGGAGCCACCACATCGCACGGAGCCATCCTTCATATGCACCAGAAAAAAGGTGACTAGCATTCCAGGCAAGGAGCTTGTCATGCTTGGGTAAGTTCCATAAAAGGACCGATGCATCAGCCAAGATTTGGCCCGCTTGGATACGATGGCATGGCTTCACATAGACTCCAATCCACATGCCTGCTGTTAGGTCAACTCGGCAATGCTTGGTGGTGCAAAGCAGGTCAAACCTAGACCAGTCACCCTCTAACCCTTCATCACTCAGGAGCATAGAGGTAATGCGGACCTGAGCTCGCATGGGTTCATTGTCAACCAGCTCAGTCACCTCACCAAAGAGTACCCAGTCATCATTGGGCCCACGAATCTCGCCTGTGGCAGCAATGGCACCAAGTGCCGCTCGGACAGTAGAACCGAGTGACTCAGCCATGCCCATAGTGGCCCAGTCGATGAAGCCAAGTCGCGACAGTGAACCATCATTCTTCTTGCTATCCATCGCCATCAGCAATCCTGATCCAGGTGAAGATCAGGTCTTTGGACGTGTAACCCTGGCCACAGGGACCAGTAGCCACACCCCGGCCCTTGCGTGAGGGCGTGAGGCACGAGGCTGTGAGCCAAAATGCCTCAGGGGAGCTTCCTTGAAAAAGCGCTCGCACTGATGATTTGGTTCCCAAAATTTTAGGGAAACTTAACCAAAACAATTTGTGTGAGAAGGGTCTCATGCGGTTTGCCATCGCTATTCGGTTGGAGGCCATTGCTTTCAGGTTGGAGGTGTCATTTTCCCGTTTTCTCACATCTTCAAACATAGAAGAAGCGCATACGCTTGCAATTTTTCTTGAACACCCAGACACACATTCGCGCCGCCTTGAGGAAGTGTATTGTGGCAAGCCTGCAGATTTTTTTCTGGTCAGTGGTGTTGCTGATCATCATTCAATACTGTGCGGGCATGACCATCTCCTACATGTGTCTTGCTTGAAAACACCGCGCCACCAATCGTGCTAACGCACATCCTTGGACCGCGATGGGGTTGGTCGTTGAGATTGCAAAGAGACAGCAACGAAGGCATCGGCCACTTTTCTTAAGCAAGTAACAAGGGCATTACTAGTAGTAGCTAAATGTTAAGTTTCCCTAAAAATTTAGGAACAATATCATTGCGAGCGCTTCTTCAAGGAAGCTTCCCCCGGGGAGTTTCCTGGAAGAAGCGCGAGCTATCCTGCAACCTAAGTAGTAGCTACTTGTAGGTACGAGTCACGGCCTACCCCCCTCCGTGCGCGAGCGAAAAAGTTCCTACTAGCTATAGCTACTACCTCTATAGCTACCTACCTCCTAGCGGCCTATCCCCTAAAAAGAATTGCAATAACAATAATTACTATATTACTACTAGTAACAAGAAGCTACTAGTAGCGATGCCCTTGTTAGCAATGGCCTCCAACATCCCTTTTGGATCTTTTGGATCCGCTAAGGCTCAGCGACTACATGTCGGACGCTTCGCGCTGCTTGGCGAGGGTGTGGACTGGAAAAGTGACCTGGTTTGCCTCCACCAGTTGAATTCTTGTTTTTATATAAGAGGTTTTTCAGAGTGTTCGTCAACTTTTGGAGAAAGTGATCTGAAACTGGGCTCAGAAAGGCTAGTTTCAGGATTGCTTGAGATTCAGGACTGGAAGGGTTTTTTTCAACCTTGTCAAGCGTGCCATGTGAGAGCAAGCACATTGAAAGCTTGCCCCATGATTGACCCACCTGCCCTGGGGGACTCCCTGCCTGTTTATGAGCCAGCACCTGATGGAAAATGTCTATTGTTTTGGTGGTTCTTGTTGCTCTTTACTATTGTTTTGATGATTTTGTAACTCAAATTGTAATTAACTTCGTGTTTTTTCATTCCGACTGGCAACACCTTTTGTCCCATTCGGCTCTCGCTTTCTTCAGCTCTTGAGGCGGTTCGTTGCAGGAGCGCCAGGAAGTCTTCCGCTACTATGGCACCTTCTCGAAGAGCCTTGGGCAGCGAATAAACAAGCAAAAGGCACATGTTTTCTTGAAGAAAAGAAAAAGTTGAATGGGCGTAACGAACTATTCGGCTCCATGAACAAAAAGACTCCATCAGTGCTAGGGAAGATGTCAGAAGAGGAAGAAAACCCGACAGCATCGAAAATCCAAAGGAGATGAATTTACCAGGCTAGGGGGAAGGGGAAGCAAAGTACAGAAGGAAAGTCCAGCTGCAACTGTTCATGAAGAGCGCCAAAAAGTTTAACAAAGGGAAGACAAAAAGAAGGAAAGAAAGGTCTGTAGAACAAGAGCCAGAGCGTTGAAGCGCTTTTGTACAGCCAGTGAAAATTGTGCTGTTGTTGCCACATGCTGTTGGTGATCACCTAGAGCAGAACCCAGGGCCGGCCCCAAGTGTCCCAAGAAACCTGGGTTGCCAGTCACCTCGAGGTGTTAAAAGAACGCCGTTCACGCTCAAGCGTTTTTCTGGCCTAGGACCATTCTCACGATGTTCGAGGCAGGGCGATGTGCTTAACGCAGCATTTGCTCAAGTAAGTGAACGTGTTTCTCCAGCGAATTTGTTTACTTCAAAATAGGCATAGCTGGAACTCAAAATCTGTCCAGTGTTTGCAGGGTTTGACTTTCTCACCTCCGAGCTCGTAATTTACTTGTTAGGGTGTAGCGTTTGCTTCCGCGCGCACGCGTGACCTGCCAGGTGTTATTTGCCAACTGGGCCCCGGCATGTCGCGTGCTCGTCGACAACGTCGGCAAGCCTAAGTGTGCGAGATCGGGACATGCTGGAATTGGTTTGGCCAAATGCTTGGTTTGAAGAAATTGTGCTTCGGCCACGCTTGTGCATGTTCTGGTGACAAGACATAGTAGAGAGGCCGGTTCTCTTCGATACAAAAGATTACAACTCTAGCTCTTGAAAGTCAGGCAAGGACTGATCTGGCAAGAATTTGGAAGGCTTTGACAAGTTTGGTTCATGAGCTGGTTGTAAAGATAGCTGGTCGGTTGAACATCAAAACTGAATATGTTTGGTGAGTTTGTGATGCACAATGGCTTCGGACTGACAAAAAACTACCTTTGCCTTTGCCCCTATTGCGATCCTAAAATAGCCAGTTTGCGCTGCAATGTCATTCCACAGTTGAAGGAATGCTGTGTCATTCTTCCCCAAAACCACAACATTCTTGCCAAGAACTCAAATCTCAAGGTCAGCGAGACGTATGCTATTGTCTTCATCCTCTACCGACACTTGCTTGCGTCAGCGATGGGAAGCAAATCAGTAGTTTTGAGGAAAATAAACTCTGGCGGCATTCAGGCATCGTGGGGGAGTCATGCGGCAAGAAAAGCTCGAAAAAGGGAAACAGATTGTTGAACGCATCAGTCATTCCTACGGAATGTATCTTTAGGACCGATTTGGAGTGCAAAACGAGCAAGCAACTGTCCTTGGGAGCTCTTACTTGTCAACAATACCGGTGACTAGTAGATTTGGTGTTTGCAGCATAGACACCTAGAAATGTCTGCTCGGCAAGCAAGTGAACACCGGATGCTAGACTAGGGTCTGATAGACAAGATCTCCACTCCTTTACCAGTGATCCAAGCTTGCTGGTTTGGGGTGTAGCTGTGAAACCGTGCACGTCCAACTGAGGATGTTGTGTGGGCTTCGCGGTGCTTAATGTGGTCAACGCACGGGGGCCCATGGGGTACCTGTTCGCTGTTGCTTTTCGTTTTCGGAGTCTCACCTTCAGAGCCAAACCGGGGGATACCGCTGTGGCCTCGAGGCGGTCTTTGTGCAGAGCACCATGAAGGTGGCCTCGGCAGATGAGGATATTGTGGCCAATGAGAAGGCCGAGACACGAAGAAAGAAGAAGGAGAAGAGCAAATCAAGGTGTTTCTTTTCTTTTTGGTGAAGAGGAAAGACTATTCCTGGCTGCTGTTTGAAGAGAGTTTATACCACATCATGTAGTTTTCCCATCTGCTCCTAGTCGCTAGGGCTTTGTTTTCTTCACCCCATTTCGCTGATTGAAGTGAAGCCATAATTCAAGGTCTTGTTTCTTGTGTGACAATTGACGACGGTATTGGTAGTAAGCAGTCTTGCGCGCACTCTTCAGAAGTAGTTGCGAGTGCCACAAGAATCTTCTGCATTGCAATCAGCAGGCAGCTGCAACTAGCTAGCTACCTCTCACTACACAGCTTTCGTAGCAGCCTAACTCCCCTCCCTTGAAAAGAGATGTTTCCAAGTGCACGGCGTGGGCGCAGAAATGATGTGTTGGGATTGGACATGCAATAACCCCATTGTTCAGTTGATAACCCCATTTGCCTCCATCATGGGAGGCCAAGGCGCAGGCAGCTTACACACGCAGAGATCCTTGGTTGGAAGAGACTCAATGCCCAAAGGACCGTAATGGTTGCTAGAACTCAGTGTTACTAGTAGCTTCTTGTTACTACTAGTAAGGCACTTGTTACTAGAAGCGATGCACTTGTTACTACTAGCTTCTTGTTACTAGTAGCTACTTGCTCCTAGTAGTAAGGCCAGGAGCCCCTAGTAGCGTCCCGGTCTGGAGTTCCCAATGTAGAGGCCGTACACCTCACAAGCAAAGTTGCGTAGCACGCTGAATGCCGAGGCCATCCACCTGGCAGCAAAAGTTACTTTCTAAGCTAGAATTCAGTTTAGAAAGTTGAGTGTGAAGTTGGATGCTAAGTCCATGTTTGCGGAGGAAGGTGAAGATTCAGAGCTTAGCATCGGTGCTGTCACTCACGGTTTTGCCTTACGAGAAGTCCCCCATTCCTTCTTTTGGGGGGCCTCGTAGGATTCACCCAATTGGCATCGTTTCAAGAAAGGTGTTTGTTTGATGGAAGAAGCTTTATTCACATGCAGCCTTGTAGTTTTCCTGGTAGACCTTGTGTTGAATGTTGCACACCGGTTGCAAACGAAAAGTTGAAAGATGAATACAGAATGCAAGGCCAGGACGCTACTAGGGGCTCCTGGCCTTACTACTAGGAACAATGTTTGCCATTAGGAACAAGAAATAACTAGAATTAGAAAAAAAAATTGAGTCCTGGGACTGAGGTGAACGCTCTTTTCAGCGAAGCTGACACTTCAGGTGCGAGACGGGAAAGCCGTCCACTGAAGGCCCATTTTGAACCACTCTCATAGCAAAATATCGCTGTAGTGAGAGAAAAGAGATGTAGGGAGATGTAGGGCACGTAGTTTCCAAGTGATGTGGGATTTGGCACTGGGATGTGGGCCTTTTTGGCAGGCGATGGAATGCTGGACTTGGAAGAGTTCCTGCGGCTGCTGGACAATCCACAGCTCCAGGCTCGCGCAGACTGTAGTTGGACATTCACATGTCCACCCCAGCTAGTTCCTCACTGTAGAGACTTTTTTGCTGCAACATGTTGTAAAGAATATTCTTGTGCTGTGTAAAGAAAGGAAGAAAAGAAAGGAAAGACCATCTCACCAGTGCCAGGTGTGGCTCCACATGCTTGAGTTGGACACTCCAGAAGCTTGTTGCAGATGGAGTCTAAAATCTGTTCAGGGTTTTCTAAGGTGTCAAGCAAGAGACAGGAGTTGGAGCAAAACAAAAGGAGGACAGGTGTTTGGAAAGAAAAGGTGTATAGAGGCCTTCTCCCTTTCTTCAGCGGGCCATAGCTTGCCAGAGTCGAAGGCTTCCTCAACTTCGCATGGTTTCCGTTTTTAGATGTAATTGAGATCCCAAGGGTGCCTCGGTTTCTGTTTCAGTGTTATTCCGAAGAAAACACTTTGTGACAGCCGGATCTTAGAGCTCAGTAACTTGAGCAACTTGTTTCGTGTAAGTCATGGCACCGTGACGAGCAAAGCCGCTTTAAGTCCAAGGACATGTCCGAAAGGTCCAAGAAAAACCGAAAGGTTCTAGCGTCTTGTTACTAGTAAGGCACTTGTTACTAGAAGCGATGCACTTGTTCCTATTAGCTTCTTGTTACTAGTAGAAAAAGACAGGAAAGGGAATAATTCAGCTCGGAGCAGATTCCTCATGCTTGTTTGCCAAGGACTTGATGGGTCTCTTTCACATGCTTGATGATGGCAAGGGAGAAATCTCCTTGGAAGCTTTGGCACAACTTGTGTTGGGTCAGGTCCAAGCACGAGAGTTTTATGCTCTTCACCAAACAGTGTAGTGACACTGGGGCCTATGGGCTTACATGGCAGGCGCAAGGGTGCCCTTGTTTGCGCAGCACTTTGGACTTGGTGGTGGTCTTTGGATGTCTTTGGCATCCGATTTCGTGGCAAGTGCATTGAGTCGCGAAGGTTAGACATGTGGCTTTGGAATTTAGAGCATCGCACGAAAGCTGCCTGCTGGCATCTTGATGTTGTCTTTGAAACGCACGGGCAGTGCTGTGCGGTGTGAACCTGATGCGCAGATTTCATGGCAGGCGCAGGAATCCGTGAAGCTTTTACACGCGGTACACATGTGCTGCCACTTGTCCGTGCACCCGGGTGTGCTTTTTTGTGTTTGCTCTCACGTGTGTGCTCTATAGATCGCGGCAGTTGGCTTACTCATCCTTCACACTGTTTGGGGCTTCTTGCCGGGATAAATTTGGGAGAGGGGAGGGTGCGGGGGGCCGTTTTCTTGAGCGACCTCAATAAGAATTGGAATTGAACACAAGAGGCCGGCCTCAACCAACAAAAGCAAAATATTCAAAGGCCATAAGCGGGTGTTGGTGATTTGGAAACCCCATAAAACCCCTACCACAAGATTGAGTGGACAAACTCGCCAAACGACCCCTGTCAAGAAATGAATTGTACTCCGTTTCTGATTGTGCAGGGGCGGGCTGCCCGCAAGCGCACGCATCATGCCATAAAGTGTTTGCTGGTAACCAAGGATGACTTTCAAGAAGGAGCGTCTTGTCTGAGAACTGGGCGGGTATGTGGCGCCACAGCTCCAGAATATTATAACGCCCCCCTTCAACGCTCCAATGAAGGCCTAGAGGGCTAAGTAATATTGCGTTAGAAGAAGCGCATGCCGAACAGTGGCTTCGAAACAGGCGGCTCCAATATTTTATAAATACTATCGCCTTGCGAAGGGCAAATGAGGGATTTGTTTTGCTTGCCTGCGCCCAGCCTTGCCCAGATGAAGCGGATGAAGGGCGTTGCCAAAAGCCTGGATTTGAACAAGTTGCAACACGAGGCCCTCCTTCGGTCTAGCTTTGGACGAGCTTGGGGGGCTGGGTAAAGTGCCTACTTCCACGAGCTGGTGACCCTAGGCCAAGGGTTCCCCCCAGTCTGTCGGCATTTGGCAATTGGCAACTCGCATGCTTTGAGGGCCCATGCAACCAACAAGGCTAGGGGAGTTGTGCATACCTCCCGCCGTGCTGGCCAGGTGGCCAAGTTGCACACCAAGGCGAGAATCGCGTTTGCAGTGACATGGGACAACTAACTTTAAGCTCAGTTAAGCTAAGCAACACTGTTTGGTTCAAAGCAGCGCGCGTTTGGCACGCTTTCGCTCGCTTGTGAGGTGGATGGCCTCGACATTGGGAACTCCAGGCCGAGACATTGACGCCTTGGACCTGCGTAGACCAGAAAAAGCCGCGGCGCTTGTTTGGATTCATTGTTAAGAAGCGCTCAGACGTACCCGAGCTATCGGGGTCAGCCACGCCACACCGGTCACAGCAGTCCTCCACCGACCAAAGGTTACGCCTCCCCTTTACCAGCAATGCGTTTTTCCCCACATGGACGTGTTGGGTTTTTGTCTTTAGTGTTGTATCCGCTCCTTCCTCCTCCTTCCTCCTTCTTCCTCCTTCCTCCACCAACCGACAAAACAACCACTAACATCCACCAACAACATCAACCAAACAACATCCGCCAACAAACAATATCAACCAAACAACATCCACCAACAACATCCACCCAAAACAACAACCAACAACAACATCAACCAAAAAACATCCGCCAACAACATCAACCAAACAACATCCACTAAACATCAACCAACAATATCCACCAACAACAACCAACAACAACATCAACCAAACAACATCCGCCAACAACATCAACCAAACAACATCCACTAAACAGCAACCATCAACAACATCCACCAACAACATCAACCAACAACATCAACCAACAACATCCACCAACAACATCCACCAAAAACAACAACCACCAACAACAGCCACCAACAACATCAACCAAACATCCTCCCCCAACAACATCAACCAAACAACATCCACCAATAACA